TCGTGTTGTTTCACTTTCTTGTCTTTGTTATTGTTTTTGTTTTTTTTTGTTTTTGTTTTTGTTTTTTTTTTGTTGTTGTTGTTGTTGTTGTTTTTTTTTTGTATTTCGCCCTCCTCACCCCTCCTCCCCTTTGTTTCGACTTTTGCGGTTTTTGATGTTTTCCTTACATGGTTGACTTGTCGCCAAAGATATTATTACCATTACTTTGTCCTACCGCCTCTCCTCACGCGCGGTCACATTTGTCGACCTCCCCAATTTAATCCTCAAACATCATAAAAAGCGAGCCACCCCGCTTGCGGGACTCCATCACAGACCGCATAATGCTCTGCCGCTCCACGGAATCAATGCCGTAAAGCTGGGTGGAGAGCTTCTCAACAAGCTCGAGGTTCTTAATGCCCTTGGTGGCGGCTCCAAGCTGAAACTGCACGTCCGCCTGAATGAGGAAGACAGGAAAAAGGAGCAGCGCGTTCTCCTCGTCGAAGCTCTTCCCCAGCAGGACGCGATCGTTGTAGTTGCAGTGCTTCTGAGCGACAAACTTCAAGGAACGCTTTTGCAGCTGCTTCTTCTGCTTTTCATCCACCATGCCACACTGAATCTCAAGGTGGTAGTTTGTGCTAGGCACAACGCGACGAATATCATCATCAATCCAGCTAATATACCGTAGCGTAGATGCTTGTTGTGGCGCAGGTACCTCACGGCAAAGTGAGCGTCGTTCATGCATCTTTTGCAGGCTCACCTTGATGGGACACTCCTCTCCCCTTTTCATCACAAGGTCTAGAATGCCGTTGTTCTTATTCTGAATTTGCTTATTATCAGAGTTATCAAAAAAAGTATTGACGCGGGGCTTGCCTTTCGAGTTGGTGTAGTTCTCACTTGTAATGGACGTCGTGGTGGATTCGGCATCCATGTCTTCCATAGCCGCCTCAATAAAGTTCAACACAACAGTGTTTGTCAGGCTCTTTGCACGGCGCAGGGCAACGTTGTACAACTCCTGGTGGACCTTTGAGCACGCCAACACGGCGGCGTCAAGGTCCTTCTTGCGTTTCTTCTCGCCCTTCCCCTCCTTAAACCGTTCGGAGGAGGCGTAGACGCTGTTTGCCATGGCTGAGGCCCAGTGTAGACGCAGGTACTGCTCAAGACAGTCAAGTATAGATTCCCGCTCGAGGTCGTTCCCTATCAACGCGTTTAGGCGTAAGCGAATGTTTTCTCCACCCCCATTAGCAGCACCTCCAACCCCGGCACCCATCTCCAGCGGATTGTTTGTGGTGTTATCTTCACTGCTCACCTCCACTTCAGTCTCGCGGGCGTAGCGAAGAAACTGCACAAAGACGCGGGTATGGGAGATAATAACGTCCAGGTGCGCTGCTGCCTCCTCATAGCGGGAGGCCATCAAATAAGAGTCCACAATATCGGAACGCAGCTGAATGTACTCCAAGATGGCCTCAAGCCGGCTGTCGAGAGGAATTTCAATTCCTCTAGGCTCGCTCGCGCCCGCCTCCTCCATCTCCACGTCAAGCTCATTGTCATCATCTGCCTTCTTTACCACCTCTGGATAAGCGCCCTCCTCCGTCACCTCGTCCTGGGGTAGCTCCTTCCGCTGCTTGGTGTCCGACTTATTCTGCCCCAACGTGTGTTTTCGCCGTCGTTCCCAATCAATAAGCCCACCCAGGCTGGTCCAAAAATAATGTCCCTCGTGCTTTTCAATAGCCTGATCGTAGTAAATCTCGGCGTACGTGTAGCGTCCCTCCAGAAGGGACTTGTAGCCCTCTTGGTACAGCCGTGAATGGCAGGAGTTGATCGCAGATGCGCCAGTTCCCATTTATTGTAGCCTACTTGTACGTTTGTGTTTTTCGTCTTCTGTCGCTACGCTTTCACTTGCCTTTTCTATCACTGTTGGGTGCCTGCCTCTGTCTGAGTGTCCAAATTGTCACGCACCTCTCTACTGGCTGCTAACTTCCTTGAAAGTATACTTTTCTGTGCTTGGGTGATGGCAGCGATGTATCCGTCGTGTGGGGTTCAGACACGCTGCTTTTGTTTCCTTCTGGTCCCTTTCCCGTCTCGCTTTCCTCGCACTCTGTCACCTCTTCGTGGTCAAAGCTCTGCAAATGACAAACCAAAAAAAGTAAAACAATTTGAAAAAAAAAAAAACGAAAGGAAGAAAGCATAAGCACAAACCCACGCAGATACAACTAAATAAAGAGAAAAAGTGTGTACGGGTGCGTGTATGCAAGCGAAAGAAAAAAAAGAAAAAGAAAGTGGAACACAAACAAATACCGGCTAAGCAAAGACCTGAACGAGAAGCTCATAACAAGCCTTGCAGTCCGTGCACGAGGCATACGCCCCTCCTCTCGTGTAGCCCCGCTAGTTTTCCAGTCACCCTCCTGCAAATGTTTTTGTTTTTGCTGTTGTCGTCTGTCTCGCGCCTTCCGTCTCTCAAAGTAGCATGAACTGCAGTGGAACGGGATGTCGCTAGCCTCCATCCCGCTCCTCCATTACCGAAAACGCACCACCAGGCGCACACTCTGTGCTGCAATACGCATCACCGACTTCAGCTTCTCAGCGGGGCACCCGTTCAGCGTCAGCAGACGATTATGGCGATGTGCGAGCAGACGCTGCAGACACGCGGCGTGCTGCGTGTCAAGAGGAGTGAGCATGCTTGCAGCTGTGCTCCATACAGAATTGTAGCGCATCCGCACCGTCGCAGTCGTCAGGGAGGCTGCAGACGTTTCCGAAGCACTAGGTCGAAGGGGAGTAGTCGTGACACCGTCGTGGAGCCTCATGTCGGCTGAAGCCACCTCCAAAAGGAACGGCCACGGAACGTGTATTGATGGGCGCAGCAGCTGCACCTTCACGTCCGTCTCACCGCATGGTGGTGCGTTAATCGCATTGAATGTCACCCCCAATTTCTCCCCACAGCAACGAAAGTGCCACGTTAAGTCGGTCTGCTGTTCAAGTGCCTGTGTCGACAACTCTTCGCGTGCACGCTCCCACCTCTGGTTCGTCGTTTGGGCGAAAGGAGCCCTTGTCCCGGTGGCGGAAGAGGGCCTCAATGACGTGTGTGGAGGCGTAGAGCCGTGGCGGCCTGCTGGCTCCCCCGTTTTTAACGGAACCGATGACATCACCGCACGCATCACCGGGTCGTTTTCAACTAAGTCCTCTGACACTCCGGCTGTCGCAGGCAACCCCGAGACGGGGGTAGAGGGAGTCGTCGGTGGCACACCTCCACCAAAGTCTGCCGGCTTCACCGTTGCCGCGGTGGTTGCCGCTGCCTGGGAGAGTGCAGCAAACACAGACTTGAGGCTGTAGTACGGTGTATCCACGTGGTGTGAATCGCTGGACCGCCTTTGCTCGGGTGGGGGCACCAGAAGACGGAAGTGTGTGACGAAGCGCCTGCGATGCGGCCGCGTCTCCAGCGCCCGAGACCCAGCAGCCGTGGCCAATGCACACAACTCCTGCGCCAGCGAGGCGGGAGAAGCGGACGGCAAGAACACCGCAGCGGTGTCATCGGGAGGTTGTTGCCTGCCTGCTGCCGCACAGCGTCGGAGGAGAATCTCAAACTGCAGAAGAACCACCAACGCCATGCGGACACGCGTCATCTCCAAAAGCAGCAACGTCAACTGCCGCGCAAACTCGTTAGGCGACGCCAAACCGCCCTCCACGCTCGCCCTCGCCTTGGCTCCTTCCTGCACCACAAGTTTCACCTTAGACATCTCCTTGCTTAGCAACGCCGCGAGACGCGCCGACGTCGTCGTGTACACAAAATGGTGCTCACTCAAAAGTGACAACTGACGCTGGCACTGCAAGGACGCCGCCGCCACCGCAGAATCCGTGGGAAAGGATGATAAGAGGCAATCAAGAAACGCACGTGCCGCCGCCAAAGCATCCTCTGAGATGCTAAACAGCCTCCGCACCGCCGCCTCCTCCACACCAACGTCAGACAACGGGCTGGATGCATTCGAGCACAGCGTCACAACGTTACGCAGGATGCCTTTGTGTTCCTTGTCCACGACCTTCCACAGAAGGGAGCGTAAACCCTTTTGTGCGGCAGCGTCTTGCATGACCTCTAGTAAGTGCTCTGATGCCACGCGTGCCGACCACGGAAAATTAATCTGTGATGAGGATGCCACCATGTCACGCACTGCCCCACACTTACTCATGATCGTACCCTCAGCTGCTGTCACGGCATTGGCCATGGCAGCAGAAGAATATGCAGGAAAATCAAAAGGGGCAATGTCACTATACGAGTTAAGACAACTGTATCGAAGTGCATGTCGCACACAAGCAGTGAGAACGGTGTGCAGTACAAAGCATGCCTGCGTGGGGCCATTTAAGGTGCCTGTACGTTCCGCCTGCTGCTCCACAAACGATGCCACGCCGGAAGCCACGCGCTGCGGCGTTGCTCGCTGCGACTGAATGAGGGAATCAGCACCCCTGGGGTCTCTACGATCCTTTACCTTGGTGTTCTGTGATCCGTCCCTACTCAATGAAATCGATTGATGCCTGCCTCTAGAAAGCAGTTGGTGACCTACCGCGGCAAGTATCTCCTCCACCGGCGGCGCAAATTCCTTTGAGCGTGGCGTTGCCCCACACGGCCCGTCAAGTGGTCCGCCTGAAACTGCCCCTGTGCTCACCGTTGGCCCCGGTGCATATTTGCTCAGCATTCCACGTCGTTTAAGGTGGGCATCAACCCACGCCAAAGTCAGGGGTGACTCCGACATACCGGCACTAAATGTACAGGAAAAAGGCAGACATAGAGAATGCAGGGACCACAGCACGCATGGAGTAAAGAGAAACAAAAAAAGAAAAAAGAAAACAAGGATAAAGGAAAAATAAAATAAAAAATAAATGCGCACCTACACACGTGCACATTACATGCATACAGATGTCTTTGCGAAGCATCTGCTTCAAAGGAACAAGGGAGAAAATGCATTACTACCGGCTGCTGTGACGAACATCAAAAAGCAAAAAGAAAAAGGTGAGTAAAAAGAGGTAAAACACAAAAAGACAGCAATGAGCCTATGATAAATGGCTTTCATACTTTAGTATGTATATGTGTTTGTGTGTATGTGGGGAGGGTCATTGCCTTTCTCTATGATGAATGCCAACAAATCCATAGACCACTTTACTGTCTTCATGTTGTGTCCTTTTCCATTCATCCTCGCAGGAAAAGAGAGAGAGAGAGGGGTGGAGGAGATCGGGTGGGAGCTTCACGTAACTTTAATTTGGCCGCAGCATCACCACCTTCTATGAAATTTAATCTGCATGTGCAGCGCATGCTTCATGATATCCATTATTTCAGGCAGCCGTGTGGCTGGGGTACCGTTGACGCTCATGATGACCCAATCCCCTGCGCGAGACGTGAACAGCCTGTGAAAGGGATGCTGCCGACATCGCTGGTCCATGATATGCGGCAGTCCAACCACCCTAACTCTTCGATTCGACTCGGTTCCCACCGTCTCCATTGAAAGACCCCACTTCATCGCGGCGGACTGACGACTGAGCACCATCTCATCGGGTGTGAGCAGATTTAGTGTCACGTTGTTTGGTAACTCGAGTGGGCCAACGGTGGCAGCTGCACTACCAGGCAGCTCGGCGGGTAGCTGTCGCCATTGTTCTTCCTCGTACAAGGACGACGGCGGCTGCGGAGGCTGTCTCGCAGCGTCAACCTCAGCCGCTGGTGTGAGCTCACCCGGCCCATCTGCATCCAAGGAGGGGGTAAAGCCCTCAGACAACACCGCAGCGACGGGGGTGTTGTTGAGCGCAGGCCCCCCTTTGTGACGACACCCAGTAGGAGAGGCAGCCGCGTCAACCACCACCTCCTCTTCTTTCGTCACATGTGGCGCAGGCGCCGCAGTTTTTGTTTTTAGCTCCCTCGAATGGATGGGCACAAGCGGCTTCTCCGACAGGGCGGAGCGATCCACGTCGCGCAACACAGCTTCCAGCACTGGCTTTTGCACGGCCCCCTTGTAGTCCCCCGCTGTCTCCAGCGCCTCACTTCTTGAAGGATGTGACGGGACAGGAGGCGCACGGTCCTGCGCAGGCAACGCCAGAATTGCTTTTGACACTACTTTTTCAGGTGGGCAGGAAGGATTTGCTTTTTTAGGGGGTGATTTCACTTTTTGTTCCTGCATAGCAGGCTTTCGCCCCCGTTGCCCGTCTCCTTCCTTGGTCGAAGAGATGCTCTTCGTGGGGGGCGCAACCGCCTCTTTAGAGGCTGTGAGCGGCTGTTTCCTAGCGTGCTTGAGAACGGCGTCATCTTCAGACGTTGGTGGCCCACCACCCTGTGGCTTTTGCCTCGTACTGCTGTTTACCCGTGAGGCTGCTGGTAGTGTTACCTCCTCCTGCTGCACCTCGCCCAACGCTGACAATGACGGTGCTGGGATAGTCTGCAGATCGAGCACAATCGTGTTGATCGTCGAACTCAGCGCCTCCACTTGGGCTGCACTCGTCACCTCCACGCCGTTTATCGCAGCGATGCGTACCCGTCTGGGGTAACGCGCAAAAAACGCTAAGGCCGCTGGTGAGAAAATACAACCAGGGATACTCACAACAAGAAGGTCACGGGTGATAGCCACATCCCATGAGACGTTGTAGTTGTCACGGTGGAGCACCAGCGTCGCAACGGGCAGCTCCTCTGGCCCCCGCTCCTGCTGCTGCTGCTGCTGCTGCTGCTGCGGAAGTGAGGGGTGTTCTGCCCCCGTGGCGTGAAACGCTAACAGCTCCACGGAGGGCGTACTGTCAGAAACAAGCTGTACCTTCGCAAACAAGCGTTTTTGCTTCGGGGTCAGTGCATCCACCTTCGCTGTCGCCTGGATCCCGTCCATTTCATTAAAATTCACCTGCTTTGAATTACACGAAAGGAGTGAAAGCCCGCCCTTACTTGTGCGCATGCACTGATGCAGCTTCTCTCCTGCAGTGCTTGCCGCCCGCACCACCGCACTCACCCCCGTCAACTTCCCGTTGTGGTTAAATTGTAAGCCCCATGGCGAGTCTTTATCGGGGCGAAGCAACATGAACTGCAGCTTTTTTCGCTCGAACGATTGAACTCGTGCACCTGGCTTTGCCCGTGCGGTGAACTCCGTCTCCAGCACCCACTCCCCCACCTGGTAGTACAGCTCGTACAACACCGGCAATAGCGCCACTGGGACGTGTGAGGAACCCATGACCCGGGCGCACGGAAATGTGGCAAGCAGACAACGATAAAACGCCTCAAAGTCATCTAGGAGCATTGTTGTGGCCCGCAACGCCTGCAGCTCCTTGGGTGTGTGGGGAAACGCCTCCCAATTGATCCCACCCACCACCTCCTCCTTGAGCCGTTCCCGCAACCGCGCAACCGCAATCTCAAGGCGCAACTGCACCCCCGGGCATGTGAGTACATGTAACCCCTCCATGATCCTCGTCCCAGAAACGGATCGATGCGTGACAGCCACACTCCAATCGCCACAAGGGTCACTGCCTACAGAAGCAACGGCGTCAAGAGTATGAGTAGCATCTGCGACCACAGTCACTGGAGCACAGGTGGAGAAGGGCAATTGCGTGGCTGCTACTGATATCAACCCCGACTCAGGAGGATGCGACTCGGGCAAGGGAGAAAGAGCCAGGCGCACATCCTTGGCCAGCGCCAATAATGCTCCGCGCGGCGTGATATCATTCTCTATAGGCATATCTTCATGGGCTGTCAGACTATCCACCACCTCCGTCACTCGGCGTGCAAGGCGTAGCGAGTACGGACCCTGCTCTGACTGTAACTGACGGTGAAGGGGTGAGCGGCGAAGCGCGCAGAGATAATTATTAAGATCTGTCCATCGCCGAAGCCTTTCCCAGGCGGCAAGGGCATCCTCAAGAAACTCCTGCGGGACCCTCTGTGACATTCCCCCTCCTCGCACAAAAAAAAAAATCCTTATGCTTGCCTCTGTGTATATATACAGAGCTAAGTATATCTGCAAGCAGATAAAAATGTTGTGCAACCTCACGTCCCCCCAGAGCGTATGTACAGACTGAATGTGCAATGTTAGATCGAGGCAGGAATAGAAAGAGAGAACTAATGTTTTTGTTTTTTGTTTTTAAGGTACAATTCAAAATAAATTTATTTTAAATCTCCGTTGTGGTATGTATTTGTGGGTAATGTAATGTGTGATCCTCGTCACCCCCCTACGTGTTGTCGGGACCCCACCCAAGCACACCAGACACACACAAAAACAGAAGAGAAGAGAAAAATAATAATAATAATAATAATAATACAGGCAGGTGATGGGGTACAAATTTAAAATGGACAGAAACAACTGCAAGCACCGTAAACCAACGCACACACACACACAAACAAACAAACAATAATACATGCATATATACAGGCATCTGGACAAGACCGCGTCACCCACCCACCCCCACACACACACACATTCCCACAAGAAGGGAGACAACAACAGTTGGGGACCACTGTTTGATTCCACGCGCCCACACCCATTTACACTCTCTCGCAGACTTCTCTGTGACACGCTCCAGCCTGGCGCTACGTGCGCTCGCCTCCTCAGCAGTACCGCCAGTGTAAACGGCAGGTCCTGTCAGTGTCACAGAAATTCCAGCGGACGAGTTCATGGGGCCCCAACAGACACCGCCGGGCACTGAATCTCCTACCCCCACCTCCTTACAGACAGTCGCAGTGCCGTGGGTCGTCGCGCACGCCTCCTTTTCCGCGCCGTACATCACGCCCATCGCCTTCTCCGCGCCCTCGGCGTCGCCCGGCCTCACATCATGGTCCCATTCTCTTGTGAGAAGCGAGAAACCCAACGGTCTCATTCACCTCCTCCGCCTCCCCCTACACCACGTCACGGCCCCTCTATGGGTCATGTTGGAACACGGTCCCCGCCGTCACGCCAGCAGCAGTTCGCCGGCGCACAGAAGAGGAACTTGAGACCAAAGAAGTACATGAATCAGTAGATAACGACGAAAATAATGCTCTGCAATAAGATCTGTATGTTGTTCATGCCAGCAGAGGTCAACCCAAGAAATATGAGTGGGGCAGCAACACCAGACAATCCAGTTCCAGACAACCACGAGGTGATCTGCCACGATGGCATGCGCTCCATGTGGCCCAGGAACACACTGCTGCCGTAGTTGCATGACACTCCACTGAAGATCACGCCAATCAGCATCGTAATGAAGGCGGCAACGTTGTTGTGCCCACGGATGTCCCAAGCGAAAGTCACCAGTAGAATGGCCATAATCACCATCAGGGAGGTCGCTGTCACGCGGATGTTGTACGATAGCAGCTGCAGCACGAAGGCATTGATAATGCCCGCGATGATCCCGAAGAACACATTCGCCTACGTGACTAGTACCACGTACATCATGTCGTAGCCTACTACAATGCCGTTGGAGCCAGTAAGCACCAGTGTGTAGTGGAAACTGTTAATCATGCCCAGCCACCACAAACCGAAGGCGTTACAGACGTGGTGCCTTACATGGACTCTCTCCTCCTGTTTCTTCACAAAAATAGTATCATTGTTGCGTTTGTTCCGTCTTCTATGTGAAACCATATATTGATCGGTCGGGAAGAAGAGTGAAATGAGGTGAGGTGCGGAATCAATATGGAAGCGGAAGCGGAGCCGCCGCCCGCCCCGCACACCTCCCCGCGCAAAAATCATGTAAAAATATAAAATAAAAAGCCTCTCCAAATTACCACTGTTTTTGTTGTTGTTGTCGTTTTGTTTTTTTTTTTACCCCCCAAGAACAAACAAAAAAAGGGGAGCGACCTTTGCTTGCACTTACACAATTTCCAACCTAAGATAAGAATCACCCAGCACTCTCGTACATCAATCAAAGTGAACCCCCTGTTGCACCCATTAACTTACAGCAAATGGTCTCTCGCTGAAAACTCACAAAATAGCAGTCGTTGGGGAGGGAAGAGATATGGCATAAAGGTACGGGGAACAAAACTGAGTCGATGAGCAATTCAACCACTCAGCCGTTTCGCCTCATCTGTTCGCACACACCCTCCAACAAGTTTCAATACAAAAAAAAAATCCTCCTCCCTCCGCTCTACTCCTCCTCCTTTAGAAAAATTTACCTTTTGTAGATGCCTACACTCCACTCATCGCCACATCCTGACCCCCTTCTTGTTGCGCTGCAACGGAAAGAAACAGGGGAGTCTCAGTAAATGAAAGATTTCAAACAAAAAAACAAAAACAAAAACAAAAACAAAAACAAAACAAAACAAAAAAGAGGGGAAAATCATTTTGAGCGTGGGCCTTGTGAGCCCTTGTAGGCGCAGAGAATCCGTGCCGCCTTGCTGCCTCCATCTGCTGCTGCTCTCTCCAGAAGCATCAAAGCCGCGCCAGCCGCGGAATTTCATCCAAATCAACATTACCGCCTGCCAACACAATGCCAATGTGGCTGTACTGCAACAAGCTCACCGTACGCGTCAACACGGCAGCCACGGCTGTTGCGGCATTATCGTCAATTACCAGCTTGCAGCGTTCATAGACAAAGCGAAAGGCGTCCCGCTTTTGCATCGCCGTCACTTTGATCACACCACTCACGTGTTTATTGACGCATTTGGCAACCGTAGCGTTTAACGGCGTGTGGAGCTGGCGCGCCATGTCAACAGTATAAACGTCTTCATTTGCGTCCTTGCCCGTGTCGCCACTTTTCCTCCCCTTGTTGACGGCAACAACCGGGCCGTTATCGAAGTCACAAGTGGAATATCCTGCATCACACTCTGCTGCAAAGACGGCAATGTTCGGTTTCATGCCCTTCACAGCGAGGGCGACACCCGCCAAGAGTGCTCCGTCATTCGCCGGCACTACTACAGCATCGAGGCGGCCATCGGTTTGCAGCATCAACTCCACCCCCAGCGTTCCGTAGCCCGCGAGAAGCCAGTCATCTTGTGGATGAACAAAGACACAGGCGTTTACCCCGTTCGCTTTGCTGGTTTTGTTGTTTTCACTTACAAGCCTTTGCGTGAGTTTCATCTGCTCATCTCGTGAGCAGCCACAGCGGTAGACCTCCCCACCGTAGTGCGCAATGGACCGCACGACGACGTCATTGGTTTGTTCAGGGATCACAATGTGTCCCGTGGCAGAAAATGAGTTAGCGGCAAGAGCGACTGCAAGCCCGAGGTTGCCAGTGCTCTGTGTCACAAAATGATTGACGTCAAGATCCATTTGTTTAGTGCGAATCACAAAGTTCATTCCACCACGAAGATTGTAGCTTCCCGTACGCTGAAGATTCTCGCACTTCAGCACAATCTCCTCGTGCCCGGACCTTTTCTGCATTGCGTTGCTCGTAAGAACAGGGGTCTCATGGACGTAGGGCCGTGTCGCCTTGTAGGCAATCATCACATCATGAAATGTGGGCATCCGGATATACGCTCCTATGAATGAACGCACAAGCGGATGTGTGTGTGTGTGTGTGTGTGTGTGTGTGTGTACTTTGCACGCACCGCTAGTTCTTCAACGCTTGCTCGCGTGTTGTTGCTACCTTTACTGTTTATCTCTACTCAAGCTTCTCTTCTCATTCGTTTCATGGGCGCCCAAACCAAACAAAAGAAAAAAAAAGAAGTTGGCATCGCCAAGGCCCGGAGAGAGCGATGCAGAGATGGTGGGAATAAAAAGGGACGCATAAAAACTACCCCTAACGTGTAAGGTCGGGGAGTTACAGCGGCAATGAGAGAGAGAAAAAAGAAAAAAAAACGAAAAGAAACAACAGAGAGAAACGACGGGATGCAGTCTTTCAACTTCAGTGACGCATTAGTAGCAACCTCTGCTCGTGTCCACGCCCCGTTTGTGAAAGAGACGCGCTCCTGTGGTGCGGGTGGGGGTACACTGCGAGGTGGGGACCTCAGCTTATCTGTAGTGCTGGTACGTCTGCGCGGCCTGCCGAAGCACCAACTCACGCCGCATCTTCTCAATGGCCTCCACAAGACCTTTCTTTGCTGTTTTTAGCGCCGCCAGATCTATCTCCGCGCCCGCGAGCTTCCGCCGGCCACGAGGCAGCTTTACAACGACGGGGGACTCAATGCCATAAAAGGCAGGCGGCGGCGGTTGTTCGTGTTCCTGCCTTTGAGTATCCGCACAGGGTGGGGACACCAACGCATCGATGCTAGGGTGTTGTGCGCCAGCCGGAGACAACACGGTCTCCCCAACACTCTCAAGGTACGACTCCGCCAGCACAGCATCGTCAGGCTCCTCCTGCAGAATGTACTCCCAGCACGACACACCATTGTCAGTGAACGCCGCGGCAACGCCAAATGGAGCGCCACCGCTAGCAAGAAGTCTCTGTTGTTGCTGTGGCAGTTGTGCCATCGCCCGGGCCGTCTTGACAGTTGCGATGCGGCGACGCAGCATACGTGGCAAAGCCTCCGCCACCTCCAGTATAGGCGCAGGCGGATCCGGCACAACAATCTCATCGTATTGCTCCGTCACAACTGGTGTCTGCACGATTGTGTACCCGACATGCTCCTCCGGCTCATAGGGCCTGCCAAGTGGCGGAATGCAGTGAGCACGACGAGGACGGTGCGAGAACCGCAGCAGGTGAGAAAGCGTCACAACACCAGGAGACATTTCCAGCGTTGCAAGCGTTGGCTGTCCGGGGGATCGGACCTCGCTCGGCCGCACGTTATCTTTACGAAACTTGCTGTTAGTGTCACTGCTTGAGTCCTCCTTTTCCACCTTTACCTCTGTCTTGACCACGCCCCGTCTGCTGCTACCAGAAACCGCGGCCACCGTGGACGTTGGTGACATGACAGCCGTCCCACCATGGTAGCGATGCTGGCTGAGCACTTGCACGACAGGCGACAAGATGGGCCCTCGTGTGAGACCCGACAGTGGCACCATCGGCTGCGACGCCAGAAAATTAGACGCCACCTTAATCTCCGACTCACAGTTTGCCGCTGAAGCAAATGAGGAGGAGGACAGCATCACCCGAATGGGCCGTGGGTAGTGCCGCAGCTGCACCTGCATCTTGACAACAAATTCACCCCAACCCACCTCCGTCAATTCAAATGGTGCCGTCCGCACAACACGCTCACTCGGTGCAAAGGAAGGGTCAAGGATAAACCGCACCGACTCAATGCATTGTGCCAGGTACTCCGTCTCGTTAAAAAGGCCACGGATGTACACAGTCCATTGGTGGCTCCTGTCACGGCTTTCAATGTTTATGAGGCGTACAACACCGCCTACAATAATGGGTAGCACCGCCTCCTGTTGGCGGTCATCGCAACTGCTCACGTCGTCGTTGCTTCCGTCACTGTCCGCTTTATCCTGCCACATCGCAATGCTGCTGCTGCAGGACTTGTACATGTCCTGCTTCTCTTCCTCATCACCTTCCTCTTCGTCCTCATCCTCGTCTTCCTCTTCGTAGTTGCTACTGTTGTTGGTGTTGTTCTTGCTACTATTGCTCTGTGCTGCACGAGGACGCCAGTACGGTTGACGGTGGCTTCGAAAGACATCCTCCCCGCTTTCATCGTTACTGTCACCACTGCTGGTACTGTCGCTGCCATTGTTGTTGTTGTTGTTCTCCTTGCCGTCGTTACCGCCCTCGGTCGCGCTGCTTTCCCCCTTCCCTGGGCTGTTTGGCCTCCGACGCTTCAACGAGCCTGCACTTCTGCTGGCGGCTGCCTTTCCGCCAGTGCCGCTGCGTGCGGGCAATGTCACATACAACGTAGTCGGCGCCACTTCTGTGGCTGCCGCAAGCGACAAACGCTGTCCACCGAAGGAGCACGTATAGCCCTCTACCCAGCTCGCCGCGTGCCTTAACGGCGGGGGCGGAGGCGGAGGCGGCAGCGTGGCGAGAAGAAGTTCGCGTAACGTGCGAGTGACGCGGCAATCCGCTGAGGCCTCGTACACATTGCCGTCAAAGTGGATGGTAAAGACCCGTGTGAATACCGTCATTGACCCCGCACAGGGCTCACTCACCGTATCGTATTCCACGCACACACGCGTGCACACACACACACACACACACCTCACCCTATTTTTATTGTTTTCCCTTTGGCGGCACGATCGTCACCCCCCGCAAAGCACGGCGACGACTAGTTTGGTGCGGGTGTCCTGCGGCGAGTGGGTGTGCCTGTGTGCGCGGCAGATAAGAAAAAGCCTGGAAAGAGAGAAGTCCATAAAAGTCAAAAAAAAAAAAAGATGAGGGCTACGGAACAAAAGAGCAAAAACAACAACAAGAGCCCGTCCGTGACGTGTCAGTGCACTCCAAAAGCACCGTCTTGCCTCTCACGTACATTGCTACGTCCTCCTCCCCACTGCCACCACCACCTCTCATTCTCACAGAGACCTCTTCGTTTCCGTACAGCTTGTCCCTTTTCTCCTCCGACTGTACTTGAGTAAAATGTACTGTTGTTGTGCTATTATTATTCTTTTATTGCTTCCTATCCCCTACAGGCGCATGCATACATGCGGAAGCATTCTGGCTTCCGTTCCTACTTCCTTTGCGGGGTGCCGCCGCTTCGCAAGCGGAAAAAGCAGGAGAAAAAAACACAAATATGCATCCATGAGAGATAAAAAATACACACACAAAAAAAAAAATGACGCTTGGAGTCATTATAAATTCCAATCTCGTCCTCACTCTCATCCATGTTTTTCTCGTCGCTACGATGCAGCCTGAGAGCCCCAGCAGTGCAGAGACCCAGCGCAGGTCATGCACCACACCCAGCCTGCCCATGTTTCCTAAATGCACCCCAAACACCACGAGGTGTGGTTCTTGTTGAACTCCCCATCCTTCGGTTACACCTCACTTCTTATTCTTCTTCGTAAAAACTGACATAAAAAAAAAAAACACTACACACGCGGGTGCTGAAAAAACCAGCAGTACGTTTTGCCCATCCCACCGCCACGTCACCAGCATCTACAGAAAGATATATATATATATATATATTTGTTCCGGTTTGTTTGCCCCGTTACATCCCACGCCACGCATTCATAGAGCACACATGCATGGACACTTTCTACAACTCTATATCCACCTCGTTTTTTTTTGTTTTCATCATGTCTTCTCTAATTTCAGTTTCATGTCCATTCACGATTCCTCGCCTTCTGTCGGTCCGTGCATCCTTCGCTCCTTCGCCGTCGGGTGCCATATCCTCCGCTTCACGCACATACACAAGACAACAAGGGAATACATGCAAACAGCGTGCACACAACACTCCCTCATCTAAAACAAGGTAGTGTCATCGTTATGTGTTAATCGCCTTTGTCTTCATACATGCATGCGCCCCTGTTGCCGTTTCTGACTTTGTTGTTATGCAGGACTGTTGATCCCTTCTGTGTTGCTGTCGCGTAATGTTGTGTTGTGTTGCGTGTGTGTAGGAGAGAGCGGGAAGGGCGTTTTCTAAACAGAGCTACGATTCGTCAAGCATCACCGCAACATCTGTAAAGCCAGCCTCCCGAGCGCAGTCGGTGGCGGTAAAGCCGTGCACGTTGCGCAGCCCCATCAACAACCCGGTCGCCGGGTGCCCAAAGCGCAGCCACTGAACAACATCCGCCCGACCGCCCTGCGCCGCGCTGTGCAAAATGGTGTTGCCGTTGTGAGATCGCAGGGCCCGTAGCTCTATCATTGGCACCGACGGTGATGCCTGCAGGAGTGCCTTTAGGATATCCGTGTGACCGTACCACGCGGCAATATGTAAGATGGTGCGACCTGAATAGTCCCGCACATTTTCAAAGCCACGCGACAGTAGCGGATCATCATCCCGAAGCTTTTGAAACAAGGCAGTGTTCCCCTCCGCAGCAGCCGCGAGAAGCTCTTCAGGCCATTGGTACAACCCGGGGGAGGTGTGAGCAATGCCAGGCGTCGCCGCCTGGGTTTGCGCACGTCCGCGGGAGGAGGAACGAGGGCCATTTAAAGATACAGAGCGACGGGTCTCCCGCACAGGAATTACCGCCGTGTGATGAACTCCACGATTAGCCAGGGGTGCTGCCTTCACTGCTGCCCTTTTCGCAGCTGGAGTATTGGTAGTCGTCGCCGTAGTTGCTGCCGCCGCCGCAGTACTCCCTGTACACTCCTCCCTCGCATACGTCATGACAGTCACTTTTTTTTTGGGTTTGTCATTATTCCTTTCCGCAGCAGTCGTGTTAGTAGGAGCAGCTGCGGGCGCAACTCCCGCTCCTGCAACGTAGTTCAACGGTGACGTTAATGGTGCCGGTGCCGGTGGCGGTGGTGTTACTCCAGCTGTTACCGCGAGAGGTAAAGAATTCAAAAGCTCTTGCTGCTGAATCTGCGCAGAAGGCTGCTGTTGGGGTCGGGGGCAACTAGTAGTGGTGGTAGAGGACGAGGCAAAAGTTGAATTGGGTGTTAGACTGCCATTCACTGAAGGGGACGTTGCAACTGGCGTGAATCGGACGGCTAGCTGTGACGGAGGAGGTGGCACCTGCAGGGAAGTATCTCCCCCCTCCACGACGCCGCTTGCAGTCCCCACCTGCTGTGCATTTCCAGGATCATCTAGCGACGAGGCTGTGTGCACAACTGGCTGCATAACATGCAGTGACGGCCCAGAGGAAATATGCGGAGTAGTAGCAGCGATTGGGTATTGAGCGCTGGAAAAAGCGGGCGCCTTTGGCAACTCCATACTTCTTGCGACTGAAAAGGACGGGGTGGTGGGCAACTGCTGCAGTGGTACCATATTCGACGGCGGTAGTGAGGCAATCACAACGGGGTTATGCGGCGTCACAAGTTCACTGGAATTATGCGATGGAGGTTGGGTCGCAACCACCCCAAGTATCTCATTCACCGGATTAACGACGCCTGGCTGCTGCAGCGGTGGCGGTAGCGGTTGTGTTGCGGCGGGCATCGAAGGAGGCTGCGGCGGTTGGGTGGGTACAGGTTGCACGGGGCGTTGTGGCTGTGACACCTGTGGAACTTCAAGAGGCCCATTGGAGGAAGTTGGAAACACGGGTTGCGTCGAAAGCACGGGCGCGGACGTGAATTCCTCTTTTCCTACTGCAGCGTACGCCGAGGTGAGCTTCCCAGCTCCATTATCTTCGCGCAAAAACGCTGGAAGGTCATCATTGGCCACATGCTGTTGAGTCTGCGCCGCCAACTCGCCTGGCGTCATGATGGCAACCTCGTAAGATATGTCCAGTGAGCCGCATCCATCACGAGCCTTTTGCGAGAGCGCCACATTACCGCCATGCCCGAGCGGCAGCGTGCGGCGTGTCATGGGCAACGCTGAGAAGAGCGTCAGCGTGGCGCTGCCGAGCAGCTCCTCCGTCTCTCCGTACATTGCCTTGTTGAGAACCCGCAGCGTCAGAATGGTCGGCAAGGGGCAAGCGGTGAAGGTGAGGATGGAGTCAAAGGACGGGTTCGTTGTGCCGCGGACAACAGCAGTTGCCTGTGACTGCTTGCCAATCGTGGCCGTCACGTAGGGATTCGAGCTGCCATCATTGTTGAGGGCGACGAGGGACTCCGCGCGATGCACCGTGAGGGTAATGCGCCCCTGCTGAATGCCACTCCCGAAGGACATGTGTATGTGTGTGGCGGATCAGGAAGGGAAGCTGCAGCGGGACCAACGTAGATCACCACCGCAACGCTGCTCTTGTTTTATATGTCTTGGTTTTCCTGCGTGGTGGCGAGGGTTGTCGCTACGGGGAATATATATCGGCCCCACGCTTAGCCTGTAGGTTTGTATGTACGCTCCTCCGCCTACTGGGAGGGGAGGGAAGGACAAGTAGAGAAATAGAGAAGGAGTGCGTGTGTGTATGTATGTGCAAATAGAAGAAAGAGGTGCCGCAAAATCGTTCAGACCCCAGTCGCCAGCAGGCACACGCACCGCTACAAATCTCTAGCAAGGAGAGGCTGCAAGCCAGCAAAAACAGGAGGAGAGAAAACAAAAGATAAGCAAAAAAAAAAAAATTGGTCGAACGCGAGACGAGATATCACACAAAGTAACCAACCACCAACAACCAACCACCAAAAGGGAAATCAAAAACAAACAAACAAACATAACAACAAAAATGGAGATGGAGAGACAGCAAAGAAAACAGCGGGAAACAGCATCAACAAAATACAACTGGAAAGAAGAAACAACAGCCAACACACACACACAACACATATATATATATATACACACACAGACATATATACATATATACATATATACATATATACATATATACATATATATATATATATATGTATATACGTGTTAATCAACCGTACCACACGTGTGCCGTATGCGTTTGTGTGTTGCTGCGTACCTGAAAGACATGTCGACAAATGTGTAAC